ATTGGCCTGCAAACTCGCCTGACCTGAACCCCATAGAGACTATGGGGTATTGTCAAGAGGAAGATGAGAGACACCAGACCCAACAATGCAGATGACCTGAAGGCTGCTATCAAAGCAACCTGGGCTTCCATACCACCTCAGCAGTGCCACAGGTTGATTGTTTCCATTCCACGCCGCACTGAGGCAGTAATTAAAGCAAAAGGAGGCCCAACCAAGTATTGAGTACATGTACAGTAAATGAACATACTTTCCAGAAGGCCAACAATTCACTAAAAATGTTTTTATGAAGTATTCTAATTTGTTGAGATAGTGAATTGGTGGGTTTTTGTGAAATGTGAGCCAAAATCATCCAAATTAAAAGAACCAAAGACTTAAACTACTTCAGTCTGTGTGCACTGAATTTATTTAATACACGAGTTTCACAATTTGAGTTGAATTACTGAAATAAATGAACTTTTCCACGACATTCTAATTTATTGAGATGCACCTGTAGTAACCTATAAGGTTTAAATCATTGCCTTTTAAATATACACAAATAAAACTTTCCAAATAAGGTAGGCTATTCGGCTTCGGGCACACCCCTAAAAATAACATTGTATTATTAAACTTATTACATGGCAACTTATCAAGTCAATTCAATAAATAAACTGAAAGATGAAATAGCCTACTGATTAGAGCAATTATTTATAATTGGCATAATGCCCCACAAGTCTTTTGTGTTTTATTAATTAAGTCATTGTTTATTCTCTCAACTGAAACACCGATTCATTCAGAAACTAAACATCATTACTGTGTTGCATGGAGACACTAAATCATTGATCCTGCTTTGTCTTAATCTGGAACTGATTTCTTGACAGACAAACGAAAACACAGTAGCATACTGGCTCGGATATGTAAGATACAAATCTTAATTTCTTGTTGTATGAAAACTGTATTACACTCTCAGTATATTTAGAAAAATATTGATAATATTGGAAATACTGGTTATAGCCAAACTCTGCTGGACATAGGCCCTCCAGGAGCTTGATTGTACACCCCTGCACTAAATTATGAGATCTGAAGATTTGAGTGCTCTTTATACTGGGGCAGAAATGTCATCACAATGATTGAAAAAAATGCCTATTCAACGAGTTTCTGTTTTTTTATTTATAAGCCTATGAAATAGGAGTTATGCACAGGCAAGAATGCTGTTTTTCCAAACATTTCAAATGTGACATTTATTTTATACAATAGTTCAATAAATAAGCAGCTTCACAGAAATAAACAGGAAATAGCAGAAGTCATTATGGAAACTCAGCTATGGAGACTTTCTGCAGTAAAGCAGCTCTAAAAGACAGTTCATAATGACAGTGTGAAGTTAACAGATCAGCAATAGGCAGTTTACAATAGGCAATGTTGTTATTCAGCACGAGTTTGTTTAATGTTGATTCAGTTCAGTTAAATACCAGTATAAATGTTACAAGATGTGATTCAGTGCTCAGATTTATGAGTTTTGTTCCTCAAAGAGTCAGCGTCTTTGAACAATATGTGTAAAATATGTAAATCCATTCATGCCATGTCTGAGCTACATTAAACAATAGGTGTAAATTCAAAGATGGACTTTGTTGATACTGATGTAATTTGATTGGTAATAGCCATGCATTGTCTTTTTATTCTGATTGAATTTTATTCATATATTAAATTCAACAATATAAGAGGACACAGATATGACAATAAATTTAAAAATACTTCTAATATTACCTCTAAACTTTTAGTCTAGGCATATTAATTGTTCTAGGAGCCTCAAAACATATTTTAATTTGTGTGCATTTTGTGCTATTTGATGTTCTAGTTGATGTCATTAGCATAGGTAGGGCCCTAACAAATGCACTGCCGCATACAACTCCGGTCTGTCGTTGGGGAACATGAGTGAGTACAAAGCATCGTGCTATGATCTCCGACGGGCGGTAAGAGCTGCCAAACTCCGATACAGGGAACGAATAGAGTCACATTTCCAGCTAAATGACTCTCGACGCATGTGGCAGGGACTGAGAACCATCTATGCCTTAGGAAATAAATCCTCTGCAGCTGTGAGTGCAGACCTGTCGCTGGCTGACGAGTTAAACTCTTTCTACAGCCGCTTTGAATGCAATCGAGGAAGCTGCAGACAGAGCAGCGATAATCATGTAATCACTGTGTCGGAGGATGAGGTTCGGAGGGTCCTAAAGCGAGTGGACGTCAGGAAGGCAGCAGGTCCTGATGGGATTTCTGGCCGTGTTCTGAGGTCCTGTGCTGATCAGCATGCTGGTTTGTTTACATACATCTTTAATGAGTCCCTTGCTACCTCGGTGGTTCCCACCCCCTTTAACAAATCTGTCATCATCCCTGTACCTAAGAACAATAACCCCTCTTGCCTGAATGACTATCGTCCAATTGCCCTCACGTCAATAGTCATTAAGGTCTTTGAGAGACTTATAAAGAGCAACATTTGCTCCTCCATCCCTGATACTTTAGACCCTCTTCAGTTTGCCTACCGCCCCAACAGATCTACTGAAGATGCCATCTCTCACGTCCTGCACTCTTCCCTCATGCACATTGACAGCAACAATGGGAAATGGGTAAGGCTGCTATTCATCGACTATAGCTCAGCTTTCAATACTATAGTCCCCATCAAGCTAGCTTCTAAACTCACGGACCTCGGCCTGAATTCTTCACTCTGCAACTGGATTCTAGATTTCCTCACAGGTAGACCTCAAGTGGTGAAAGTAGGCCAGTTCACCTCCAACTCCATCACCCTGAATGTGGGAGCTCCACGGGGCTGTGTCCTGAGTCCTCTGCTCTACTCTCTCTACACTCATGACTGCGTGTCTTCCCACAGCTCCACATCTATCATCAAATTTGCTGATGATACTGTGGTTCTGGGCCTCATTTCCAACAACAATGAGGCCGCATACTTGGATGAGGTAGAGAAACTCACATCATGGTGCCAGGACAATTGTCTCTCTATGAATGTGAGTAAAACTAAAGAGCTGATTGTGGACTTCAGGAAGAGACAGCAGCGGCCCTATACTCCTCTTATGATCAGTGGGACCCCAGTGGAGAGGGTGAGCAGCTTCAAGTACTTTGGTGTAATCATCTCCAAGGACCTGACTTGGACTTCACACATCCAAACTCAGGTTAATAAAGCCAGGCAAAGACTGTACCATCTGCGACAGCTGAGGAAATTCAGGGTTTCGCCAGCAATCATGAAAACGTTCTATTCGCTGCAAACGCTGCAAACGCAGAGCTGTTAAAATCATCAAGGACTCCAACCACCCAGGTAACTGTCTTTTCACTTTGCTGCCATCTGGTAAGCGCTTCCGCAAACGACTCATTAAATGTATTTATTTTATATACATTTGTCTGTATATTTTATAATATTATATAATAACATGCTGCATGTTATTATATATGCTTTGTCGCCCCCCATTGGCCGATTTCTTTCAAATTTCTTTCAAATTTCTCACAGAGCTTTAGGACCATGAGTCAAACAGGCCCACCCAGTTTCGTTCCGATCGGCCTCCGTTAACCTCATCTAATAGGTGCTCAAACTTCATTGGCTGATGGCGGCAATGTTTTCTGAGATACATGAATGTGCTCATAGAGAGCCGTGACACTTTGGACACAGACATTGCATGTGAATTTTCAAGTCAGTCGGAAAAACAGATGTGTAGCCAATAGTTTCCTATTATAGAGGCCAAACTGCGATTTTTCTCATGTAACCTCAGATTTAGGTCTTACATATGTGTATAGCGTTCAAGATTCAAGATTTAAGATTTTTATTTGTCACATTATGGTTATATAGAGAATATATGACCAGCAGTGAAATGTAAGTCTGGTCCGCTCCATGGACAGTGCAATTATTAAAGAATACAAACACAAGAAAATTATATATAAATATAGGTATGGAAAAAAGATGAAAAAATAAGAATAAAATAAAATGTGCAGGACAGTATACCGTAGACTTAATAAATATTAAGATGAGCAGGAATGTACAAGAGAAGAATGTGCAAACAGGTTGTACAGGGTAGTTACATAGCAGCAATAGAGTTTAAAAAGTAAATAAATAAAATATTACAGAAATTGCTGTGTGCAAGTGGCAATGTTAGTATATTACGTGTCTTACTGATAATTAAGTGAAGTCATGTTGGTGTTAAGAGACTGAGTTTGAGTTTAGGAGCCTGATGGCCTGGGGGAAGAAGCTCCTCCTAAGTCTCTCGGTTTTTGCCATCAGGCTACGGAAGCGCTTACCAGATGGCAGCAAAATGAAAAGACAGTTACCAGGGTGGTTGGAGTCCTTGATGACTTTAACAGCTCTGTTTTTGCAGCGTTTGAGGTAGATGTCCTGTAGAGAGGGGAGAGCAGACCCTGAGATGCGCTCAGCTAAGAGCACAACTCTCTGCAGGGCTTTGCAGTCTTGACTGGAGCTGTTCCCATACCAGACTGAGTTTGGTGTAAATATCTCATTCCGTTGAAACGTTAGAGCCGTTTTAGGAAAAGTGTCCCAGCCTCTTTCGAGCATTTATGGCGAGTCGAAAACTATACTTTAATTGATAATTATTGCTATTCACTATCCAGATAAATTTTCTTCACTGGTTTGGTTCCGACCGGACGAAAAACATATATATAGTTTTTTTTTGCAAAAGTTGGTTTTTCAAAAAAAAAAAAAAAATCCAAAACAGTCGAAATTTCCTCGAATCATGCGTTTTGTTCGTCTTGAGTCAGGGATTCCCATGATATAAGACAATTGAGTTTGCGACAAGCGGTTTAGGAGTTATGAGTGATTTACTTTTGATTGCTGTATAGTACCCCCCTCAGGCTGATCGGGGCGAGCCTTGGTGTCTTGGAGTGGGTAGCCTACTACCATCCCTTAAAGTTCAAGTCTCTACGCCTTAACTTAAACTTACGGTTTGGTCTGCCCAGTCACTTTTAGGTCATTTATCTTTGAAAATCTTAACAATAACAACCCCTAAAAAAAGACAGATAACAAAAAACAACATGTATGATTCGCTGCAGAGAGTGGCTACCTCCGCTGGTGACAGAGCAGCACTGCCCTAAGATTTAAATAAAGTGTAAAGTAGGCTAATGGAGCAACAGGACGCTAACTCTGTCTTAAAATTTAAATAAAAAAATGTAGGTCTGCTTATTACTTTTTTTTTTAAGTTTTGTGTTTAATCTAGATCTAAGCGTTATTGGTGCAATACCTTTTCAACTGATCGGATTTACGGTTCTCCTATAACAGACTATTAAAACTTCCAAAAATCTCATAAATTTACAACCACAGAATGTAGAGTCTATAGGTAGGCTATAGTTCTACATTGTCTTTCTCAGCTGAAGCCAACATAATAAAGGAGTATTAAAAACTTTTTTTTCATGCTGCTTTTGCTCAGTGAAAACTGTCCCGACAGAACTTGACTCATGTGGAAAGAGAGTGAGATCAGAGGCACTCCCTCACACTGATTGGACTGCTATATTAAGAACTCACAGAGCGCTTATAAAGTCCGTACTGACACATCTTGTTTCATGTTTAACCCTGCTGCCTACGCAGTTGTAAGTGTTATTCCGCTACTTTCAGGTCCTGTAACACTTGATGGCGTGTATTCGTAAAAAGCTGGTGGTGGTTGGGGACGGGGCATGTGGAAAGACTTGTCTGTTAATTGTTTTCAGCAAAGATGAATTTCCAGAGGTTTACGTGCCCACCGTTTTTGAAAATTACGTGGCAGACATTGAAGTGGACTCCAAACAAGTTCAGCTGGCTCTATGGGACACGGCGGGGCAGGAGGACTACGACCGACTGAGACCCTTGTCCTATCCGGACACCGATGTTATCCTCATGTGCTTCTCCGTGGACAGTCCAGACTCTTTGGAAAACATTCCAGAAAAGTGGGTGCCGGAAGTGAAACATTTCTGTCCTAATGTGCCCGTAATTTTGGTGGCGAATAAGAAAGATTTGCGGAGCGATGACAATGTGAGAAGTGAGCTGTCGAGAATGAAACGGGAGCCAGTGAGAACGGAGGACGGACGTGCCATGGCTGCTCGCATCGGAGCGCACGACTACATGGAGTGCTCTGCCAAAACGAAAGAGGGGGTTCGGGAAGTGTTTGAGACCGCTACTCGAGCATCCTTACAGAGAAGACCAAGACCACCCGCTGGCTGTTTGAACTGTTGCCGACTCATGTGAAAAAACTTCACAAACCTATGACACAAAAGACACCCTCCTCGAAAAGATTGCGTTTTCGGGTATGCCAGCAAAAGTGACTTTTTTTACTCGTAGAACACACTGTGCTTGTATTGTGAGGTCAATATTTCAAAGCTATCTAAAGTCATATGAGCCACTCTAAAAGACATTCAGGCTGGCCACTGGATGGACTTTTGCTAAATTATGTGAATGGCTTAATAACTGTGGCATGTTGGTCATGGTAAATGGACTGCCCACAGAGTTTAAATGCCAATAGGCTTCACAGCTTAAGTTTGTTGGCACAGGTTTGTTTTTCTGAGTAGAGGATCCTTATTTGGTTCTTTTTTTCATGAACCACATTGTGCTGAATTACATGATAAGAGATAGAAAGCAATTGATCTCTTTACCATGCTCATCGTGATGTTGCTGTCTGTTAATGAATTAAAATACACTGGTAGGTACACTTTCTCAAAACAGAGGTTCACATGTGCTCTGTATGACAACAACTGTTTTAGGTGTAATCAAGGTGTTAGTGTACAGTTGAACAAATAGTTGCCTCCTTTAATGTTTAAATATTACATCATGAGAGAATGAATGTTTCAGAGAATCAATCAGAACTGCTGAGGACATACTAATGTGACCGGTAATTTTTTTATTTTTATTTGGTAGACAACAATTACTGTACAAACGCCTGTATTCAGTTTATGAAATGTACTGAACAGGCCTGATTAATCAAACCATTTTAAATATAATTTGAACAAGCTATTTTGCTTTTATTTCTGTGAATTTGTTGCTTTCATGTATTTATAGAAAGATTTAAATGCATAGGTAAAGCAGTGTGAATACATGGGTGGTTTTGCTTGCAAATGACTCATAAATAAACATATTTTAAATAAAATAAAGGGTGAATTCAGTTAAAGTGGCCATTTAACCTTGTTTGTACTGTGCACAAAGGATACGCTTTCAGCATAACAATGGTCTTTAGATAAAGAGACCCTATTTCTTTAAATGATAAAATAGTTTGGCTGATGCAATATAATATACCTTGGTAATTGTTACACCTCAAAGAGAGTAAGAGTAAGCTCTTTGACACTGACATTTTCATTTCCAACTTATGAGGTTCTCAGTAAATGTAAACAAATATAATTGTGACCGTACTTGTATTATTTGTTACTGCAGTTAACATTAAAATGCAAAGAATGCATTTCAAAAAAGTTTTTCTTGTAATGTGATTAAAAATTGCTGCCGTACTTTGGCTGAGTGTGCTAGCTAAAGTGGGCCGTAGGTTTAATGCAGAGTATAAAGCTTTAAAATATGGTCACAGTTAAAATTCATTTAAAGTGTTTAGAAAAAAACAGAAAAAAAAGTTCTACAAGATTACATTTAAAATGTTTTGTGTTCAGTGTTTTTTTGTTTTGTTTGTTTGTTTAGTTAACCTACTGTATTTGCATGTATTAGTCACATTTTTAATGTTTTATGTTGTAGAGTTCATTTTCATCTTAGATTTCATATTCTGTTAGATTTCCTATTTTTACAGATTCGTTTTTTAATTGAAGGCTATATGTTTTTTAGTTTGTTACTGAATATGTTTGTTTGATAATATTTGTTAATAAACATTACAAACGTGTTTTTATCATTTCTAATTAAGATACAGAATAATTTTTGTCATAGCTGCCATAGCTGGACCTTAATGTTAATAAAGGTAATAAAGAAAACAAAGAAGAAGAAAAAAAAGGGGGGGAAAGCACGTTTAGAACCACTGACTTAGTCTTCTAATACATTTGGAACACTTAAGTGGGACATACCCACCCCCAGCTAAAATTGAAAGTAATGTAGTGCTATATTTTATGGGCAAGTGTGTCATTTGAAGTAAAGAAGTCACATCACTTCCTCAGGGTATACATAGTAGATATTTTTCACACGTTCATAAATGAGTTTGGATGGATTTTCACTCTTTCATTAAACTTACTAATAGTGCTGCTCTCAGATTTTTTTTAGGTACCTTAAATGTTCCAAGTAAATACTTCTAGCCTCATGTTTGTAGTTTCAGCAGTGGATTAGACATTAAGTCGGCAGTCTCATCATGTTCCCCTCATGTTGTCTCATTTCCTCGCAAAAGTCATGGGAGGGGCCCCATTGAGAGTGACCTCATCTGTGTCTTTGCACTATATTTAGATCTGCAGTTGGATTTGACCATGTGACGGGGTTTCCAGCTGAGAAACTTCAGTCAAAGTGTTACCACAGAATGTGTTGTTGGAGTAACCAACATATAATATACACACAGTGCCTAAAAAGTATTTATACCCCTTCATTTTTTCACATTTTATTATGTTGCAGCCTTATGTTAAACTGCTTTAAATAACTTTTTTTCCCACATCAACCTACACTCCATACACCATAATGACAAAGCAAAAAAGAGATTTGTAACAACGTCGCAAATTTATTAGAAATAAAAAACTGAAATGATTCCATTGCATAAGTATGCATACCCTTTCCTGGGACAGTTGAAATTTCGCTCAGGAGCATTCATATTGCTTGTAGATGTTACTACACTTTGAGTGGCGTTAACCTGTGGCAAATTCATTTGAATGGGTATGATTTGGAAAGACACAAACTTCTCAATAAAAGTTCAAACTGCTGAAAATGCATATAAGAGCAAAAACAAGAGGTCAAAACAACTGCCTGTAGAGCTCAGAGACAGGATTGTGTCAAGGCACACTTCTGGGGAAGAGTTCAGAAAAAAATTCTGCTGCATTGAAGGTTTGCAGAAGCATGTAGTCTCCATTAATCTTAGTGGAAGAAGATTGAAAAAAACAACAACAACATGACTCTTCCTAGAGCTGGCCTCCTGGCGAAACTGAGCAATCAATGGAGAAGGGCTTTGGTTAGACTGGTGACCAAGAACCTGATGGTCACTCTAGTTGAGCTCCATGATCATATGTGGAGATAGGAGAAACTTACAGAAGAACAAACATCACTGCAACTCTCCAGCGATCCGGTATTAGAAATAAAAAACTGAAATGATTCCATTGCATAAGTATGCATACCCTTTCCTGGGACAGTTGAAATTTCGCTCAGGAGCATTCATATTGCTTGTAGATGTTACTACACTTTGAGTGGCGTTAACCTGTGGCAAATTCATTTGAATGGGTATGATTTGGAAAGACACAAACTTCTCAATAAAAGTTCAAACTGCTGAAAATGCATATAAGAGCAAAAACAAGAGGTCAAAACAACTGCCTGTAGAGCTCAGAGACAGGATTGTGTCAAGGCACACTTCTGGGGAAGAGTTCAGAAAAAAATTCTGCTGCATTGAAGGTTTGCAGAAGCATGTAGTCTCCATTAATCTTAGTGGAAGAAGATTGAAAAAAACAACAACAACATGACTCTTCCTAGAGCTGGCCTCCTGGCGAAACTGAGCAATCAATGGAGAAGGGCTTTGGTTAGACTGGTGACCAAGAACCTGATGGTCACTCTAGTTGAGCTCCATGATCATATGTGGAGATAGGAGAAACTTACAGAAGAACAAACATCACTGCAACTCTCCAGCGATACGGTCTTTATGGCGGTGTGGCCAAACTCAATCCTCTCCTCAGTGAAGATACATGAAAATCCACTTGGAATTTGCAACATAGCACCTAAAGAACTCTCAGATTGTGAGAAACAAGATTCTCTGGTCTGATGAACCGCAATTCCAAGCATCATGTTTGGAGGAAACCAGGCACTGCTCATCACGTCCAGAGTAGCATCCCAACAGTAAAGGTAGCACATTTTTCACAAATAAATAAATATTTAATAAAAATATAATTTAAAAGGAAGTAAACACTGTAACCAACAGTGCACTGCAGTATTCTGGGAAGTTTGTGTGCATTAATCCAATTTTTTCAAATAAAGCCAAAGTAACACTCATTTTACATACAGCACACAGTGAAAATTACAAGAATATGACAGTGGGCAAAAGCATAAAGCGCAGCATAATTTAAAATCATGAGTTTAATGTTTATAGATCGCAGTACAGTAAAGCTCCAGTAAAGCGGAACTCTCCTCCTGTCCGCATTCAATTCGCACGGATCGACCATCATGCAGAGTACGTATGTAACCATGGTTCCCCGAGTAGGGAACGAGACACTGCGTCCTCTATGGGTCGCTATGGGGAACGCCTCGATGTGACCCGTGTCTGAAGCATACATTAAAAAACCACCAACATGTTGGTCACTTCTTCACCTGAAGCTTGTGTCCAAAGCATGGCAGGAAGCTAGAGGACACAGTGTCTCGTTCCCTACTCAGGGAACCATGGTTACATACGTAACCTGAGACGTTCCCTTTCAAGGGAACTTCGAACTGCGTCCTCTAGGGGTCGCTATGGGGAACGGTATACCCACGCCCCCATGCTGAGGGGAGCGCATGCCAAACCACAGGCGAGCACTAAGTATCAACTCTACCAAAGCTTTAAGGGAGTTGCCCCTGGGATGTTAGATGGCTGTCAGTGACATTATCCCCTACGGCCAAAGGCCTAAGCTACATACCCCAAAAAAACGCCAGAACTCCTGGGCCCGGGGTAGAGCTCAAGGCTTGGAATCAGGAATAGATTCCTTTAAGGGGATACGACCAAGTGCCTAGACTCGTACTAGGTCTTGGCCTGTCACCCAGGGGGCTACCGCTTGCTCTGCATGAGCTTGCTGAAGGAACTTGTGGCAGTGAAAACGTTGTGCCACAACATCCTTTCAGGTTACTTTCATTTTTTTTCACTTTGCGTGTTTGGGGTGGAGCATTTCAATTATCAGCAGAAGGAAAGAGGATATAAGGAAGTGAGTCATACCTGAGAGTAATTGCGTCATCTGTTTGCAGTAATGTGGGAGTGATTGTTTGGAGAACCCTGCGAGGTGGAAAGATGGCTGTTTGTTCAAACGTTTGCTTTTCTTGTGAGTGATGTCTGGTGCGTTGTGAAGTTCCAAATTACTTTTAAACGTGGCACTGCCAGATCGTCTGCACTTAAAGTTGTTCTGAA